CGACAGAGTGATTGCATTTTGAAGCTGATTGCATCTGTGCTTGAGCATTTGATTGTTGTTTGCATTGTGCATTCCAGAGGAGCTCGGAATCGTTCATTGAATTTTTCATTAAGCCCCCCCTTCGTCGAAGGTCTAGGGCCCAGCCCCAAGTCGTCGAAGTTCCCGTGTGGTCGCAGAAGAAGAAGACGGCTCTTCAGGGCGCATGGCACGTCTGAAAGGGCCGCACAACGGCGGCACCAACATATGCGGGGGCGGAGGGGGGGGTCGGCTGGGGCTCCAGGGGATAGACCCCACCCACGGCATGGATGCTCCTCCTCGCGCCGCCGCCGTCCCCCCCACCTCACCGTCTCTTCTGGCGCGGAACCTTCGTGGTTGCCTCCCCCGCCCCCCAACCACCGGTTCTTAATCGCCTCCATGACCTGCATTGCCCATGATCATCGCGGCAACGCCGCAGGCTCTGAAGCCCGCCATTCCGAATGTGGTCATGCTGTGGCTGGTGCTGGTGCTGGTGCTGGTGCTGGTGCTGGTGCTGGTGCCGGTGCTGGTGCTGGTGCTGGTGCTGTGCAGCTGCTGCCCTAAATGCCATGAGCTAATGCCTCTGTGCTGCAGTGCTTGCCAAAGCTTCATGAATCCAGCCTCAGTCAGGGCTCAAAACCTGCTCTCTTCAAGAGCATTCCGTGCTGGTCGCTTGCATTCGTGTTGTGGTCATCGGTGATGTTGCAAAAGACGAGCAACCACTTCGAGCTCCGAATAGTTGTTTGTGTTTTACGAAATTGCATGAACAAGGTCAGCTCTGTTTTCGAGCAGATCAATGATCGCTTTGCATAACGTGTTCAAGTTCAGTGGCCTTGACTTACTTTTGAGGCTTTATTTGTCGCAGCGTTTTGGGTCTTATCGTTCAGACGACTTCAGATGTCGGGCCACACACGAACCAGCTGATTCCCAAGGCACTGTCGTTGTGGGAGGTTTTCCCCATATCAGTGCCATGAATGTAAGCAACACAGCGGGAGCTAGAGAGTGAGAAATCTTTCAGCTTGCAGCACCAGAAGCTAAGTGAATCTTACACTTCGCACGTGCGATTTGCAACAGTACCAGGACCAGCACTCCACTCACACCACCCACTCCCTTGTTCACAAAATCATACTTTGCTGCTTCTATTTCTGGAAAGGTGCTTCCGTAAGTATGATCCATAAGTCGAGGTGCCGCAGCAGTGATGCAGAAAAGCTGTGAGTCTGGAGGACTTTCACGTTTCGAATGTGCTGGCTTTGCAGATAGACCCCAGGGGCACAGTTTCGCAGCATCACTTCAAGAGTCCACAACAGTCCAGTGAGGCACAGGATCTGTCCACGTTGACGATTTGCCCCTTGGATCGCTAGGGTGAGCGTCTGTGGATGTCATGGTTCTGCGTAGGATTCCAGCTTCGATTATTCGTGGGCCACCCGGTGGGTGTAGACAGCACCATTCTGGGAGTTGGAGTTCTCGCAGACACAGGAACCGCCATGAGGCGAATGCAGTCGAGGTGGAGGACTTGGCCAGAGTCTTGGCTTCAATCTTGGCTTCTGGGGAAGAGCTCGATACCTGAGGTTGTTCGAGAAGTGGGTCCGCTGTGCAGGGCAGGTTGCATGGGAGTCTGCTTCTTAGCTAGGCATCGTCTGCGCAGGAGCGTGATCGTGTCGCATCCAACTTCAGTTGAGGTCTGATCCGTCAGAGTGGAACCGCGCGGCATTGAGCTGGGCCATATTGCTATGGGCTGTGCTTGAGTGCATACACGATCAGCATGCTTGCAAGGACACCGCTGCGGAAAGCTTCTGGATGTGCAGGCCGCAGAACGGCAACTACAATCCAATTCCCAGGCTGTTGAGCAACCCCATGCTTGCGCAGGAAGAGGGGAGTAGTTTGCACGTTCCACTCCTTGCTGCAGGCGAGCGAGGCTGCCATCGGGGGTGCAAATGGTGCGATGTCCTCATGTGGACTTCAACAGTCTTCCGCGATTCGCTGCCTCTTGTGGAAGTGAAGAGTGTGTAACGGTGTAACATGCTCAGTCGAAGCCCTCAAGGTGTCGATACGAATGTGCGAAAATCTGGGAGTGGGACCAGTCCCTGAGCTGAATTCTGAAGTACCACAAAGCTGTTTACAGTATTTGCACACTAAGGGAGTCTGGGGACGGGACCTCAGTGACCAGTTCAGTAGCCTTGGCAATCTGTGTCCAAGAAAATAGGTCTGAAACTCAGGCGGCGCCGTGGCATTCGCTGTTGTGCCCGGGTGGGCTGAGCATTTATGCGTCCGACCCTGAGGCCAAGACCACGTCTAACAGTGGCTGTGAAGAAGCTTCTTGCATTCCTGTGCACCCCCTCTGTGGATCATGTCGTAGTGTCTGAGATACCTGAGGAAGCGCAACACCTTCCACCAGCGCGTCGCGCTGCTAGAGGTGTGAATGGGAGCATGGTCCAACTCCTGCAGACAAGTAGATGAGTATGTTAGCAAATTGTCATGTGCATGAGTGCAACGGTTCGCTGCAAGCTTCGTCCCTGCTACAGTCCTTCCTTTGGTGGCGTCGAAGACGAGGCAGATGCTCGCAAGATTGTATGATTGAAGCGGTTCGGCGCCAGCGAATCCGTTCACTCGCCCGTGCTCAGGCAATCAGTTCTTCGGTACGCAGAATGTCTCCGAGCTGCTGAATGCTCCCATGCGGGGCTCTTAGCACCGTTTCAGAGCATCAGCGTTGTCTCTCGAATGCAAGGACGAACGCCAGGAACTTCCAGCCTGAGGCGCACTGCTAGATTGCAGCGGTTGCCCCTCACTTGCCCCTGGGAAACCACATCTAGGTCATGCTGCACGAAACTGTGCCCGCCTATCGTGCTGTCCTGTCGATGAGCATCATAGAACGACCTGTTAACACCGGTTCCTTCACCTCACGCCCCGAAAGTAGCACACGCGTTTAAGATTCGGTGCATGATGACACCATGTCCATGGCCGAGTGGTTTGCCAGCCCGGCTGCCCTGACCTGCCCTGGTTCAGCAGAGCCTGTCCGTTCCATGTGAGCCGAGACTCCCGACGTACCCAAGAGCTGTGCCAGGCTGCGAGGCTATGCCTGTGACATTGCCTTGCTTCGCCAGGAACTCTGCCAGCTTCGTGCCGGGCTCACCGACTCGAAGGACTCACGCATGGCGAGAGATCTGCAATCCATACACATCGTAGTCCCATGATCCCACATCAACAGTGTCTTGGCATGGCTGTCGTGTTCGGTTGCGGTAGACAGCAGCGTGAATTGAATGTGCATGGTACGGCAGGCGCGGCACCTCGACACGGCTCTGCTGCTGGAGCGGCTGTCAGGCAAGAGCTGCCCTTGCCGTTCCTTGCGGTCTTGCAACCTCTGAGTCTTTGAGGCCAGAATGCTCCGCTGCGCCTGCAGCTCCGAGAGGGCCGAGAGGCTCAGCCGGAGGCCGGACGCCGGGACTCGCGGCATTTTGGGCAACCTGCACTATAAAGTCTTCTTGTGCGAGGCAGGAGCTCAGTCCTCCCTGTGCCTCGGCTTGCACGCACGCCACGTCTTCCTGCGCCTGTAAGAAATGGTCGTGCACATGGCAAGGCCGCAAGGCGCACGTCCGGGTCTTGTCCAGACAAAGAAAACCGCAGTGAATGCCATCGGCATCGGAGAAGCCGTGCACACCCAAGAAGCCGCCTGAGCCTTTGTGCTGTCTACGTCCAGGGGGTCGCCAGGATCCACCAGGGCTTTCGTGCTTCCAAGGCACGTGCAGATCCAATGCTCGGGAGGCCCGCGCCACAAGTGACACAACTGCGGCTGTGTATGGCTGTATGATTGTTATGGCGCGTGATCCGAGGGCAAGTCGCAGGCGAGCTCGGGCTTTTAAGGCCAGGACAAGAGGGCCCAGTGAAGAGGGGCTTGCTGTAAAGGGGCTCCCGTACTCTGGAAAGAGAGCTGGAGGTAGAGAAGCGACGCAGCGCCGACGCCCTAAAAAAGGGCCAAAATGGGGTGTGTACGGTCGGACACTCGAACATTGCGAGAGGCAGCGCTTCAGAAGAGAGTGGTCCGCATCCGAGCCACTGTGACGCTGATGCCCTCAACTCAGATCTCTTTGGGGCCTCGTTGCAGGATGGGCAAGAAGCGCAGAAAGCAAGCGAGGCCGGCCGTGGGGTGGCCCTGCTGCGAGCACGCCAATTTCCAAATTTCCCCGTTTGTCCAGGCCAGAGATGTGGGACAGCTGAGAAGCGAGCTTGCTTCTCTGCGAACATGGTGACAAGCTGAGAGGCTAAAGGCATTCTGAGAGTGCTGACGCAAGAGTCTGAAACACACAAGGGCGAAGCAGGTGCGGCTGAAGCATGCAGCAAAGCAGGTGGGAACAGTCAGCTTACGGCGCCGTCAAATTCCTCAGGTGCCCCATTACTGAGTCCTGAATGCCATGCATAGCAGCTTTCTGCAAGGCGCGAGTGAACGCCGACAAGCACACCGTGGGCCTCTTGCTGGCTTGCCTGGGCTTGTTGGTGAAGGCCCATGGGGAGACAGCAGACCAGCTTCGACATGAATTGCGACGAGAAGTTGAGGTGCCGGGAGGGGACATGCATGCCAGTCCTTACATGGTTTACAATGCCTTGCATCCATTCACGCATTTGCAGATGCTGTCGCATTTTCATGCAGCTTATCTGGAGTATGATGCAGGTTTAAGTGCTCAGACTACAACTCAGTAGAGACGTGGCCAACACATACTGTAGAATCTGTAGAACATAGTAATCTTGTTGCATATTCATAGACTTGTTTTGCGAGACTGTTCGAGTTGTTGTCGTGTGCCAAGTTGGTTCGGTGTGGAGCATGCCCAGGCATGCGCGCTGAGAGTCATGCTCTTTCCTCGCGAAGTCCCGAATTGAATCTGTCGTAACCCAGTAGACTTAGCAGAGATTCAGACCTGTTTCAGGCAGCCCGTCTGCTCCACAAGGAGGAAATAGAGAGAGGTTTTGGCTCAAATGTCTGCGCTCCCTGGCATCGGGGGAGGCTCGGGGTTGACCTGGAGCTGTTACCCAGCGGCACTTAGAGTCATCAACAGGCCCTTTCGCTCCTTCCACGTCCGGAACCCGACTGCGGCTCTCTCCGGAGTGGCCGTGGGGGCAAGGAGCATACGTGAAGGAATTCACCGACCCGGGTCTTCCTTCCTTGGCCGAGCGCCGTGCCGAATGGGCACTGGATAACCCTGATGGCAAACCAGGGGGGGATACATCTGCCGACTTTGCAGATTTGCTGGGAGTACAAGAACATGTGGCCCGCAGCAGGACAGCTAGAGGGGGAGCCGACAACCAGTGAGCCGCCGGAGGTAGAAAGATGGGTCTGAAAGAGGGGGAGAGCTTAACTCACTCCCAAAAGTTTGCAGCACACTAAACTGTGGCGAGTGCGAGGGGGAACTCCTCAAGCCTCTGCGCCCTAATCTTGACGAGCCGCTGAGCCAAACAACACCAGCCTACGAGGGCCTAACCCGCCCTACACCCGACAGAAAGAGAGAGAAAATAGAGAGAGAGAGAGAGAGAGAGAGAGAGAGCTGGCAGTGCGAGAGCTCGGTCGGTCAATTGTTTCAGTAGCGTGCAGTTGGTGCCGGACCTTGCCTGAGCATGGGTGAGCGCGCGGAAGAGGGTGCCGTCTGCTCTGCTTTCGTTTTCGGGGCTGGATAGCGAGACAGAAAGAGGGAGATTCTACACCTATACTAATCTACAATCACATGTATACATATATACATACGTGCAGACACACTAAAGGGAGCAGCGCAACATGGCGTTTCCTGCCTCAGCCTGAGCTCGCAGTCCCTCAAGTTCGAAAGATAGACCCTGAACCTCAACCGAGGTAAAAGCGGCAAGCCGCGCTCCAAGCAGAAGGCGTTCCTGGCATAACTTTCCGGGACCTACTTGGGCGACAGATCCATCCTGTATCGGAGGGCGCGGGCTACTGTCGACCCTCTCTGTCCTGCCACCATCGCCGAGGCGCGGCGGCTGGAGTTTTAGGAGGTGTCAGCCCCGCCTGTATGCTTTGGGTCGTGTTGAAAGATCTGCACATCAGCGAACTGCAGGCTTGTGGCAAATGTCAAGACGTCGCCGTGGTCGTCGGCTATGCCCGACTCAAATTGTGTGAAAAGATCGTGCCGGCTGGCGACGTGCGGAGGAGAATCCCGCAAACCCTAGAGCCCTAGAAGCCCCAAAGCCCAGAACTATAGAAGTCTAGAAGCCTTAAACCCGGAAGCCCTGAGCTCTATAGACTATAGACCCCAGAAGCTCCTAGCAGGCCTACGCCGCCATGCGGCATGTGCCTTGGTGCTGAGGGGAACGTTGACGCCGGCCGCCTCAAGTCGCAAAGCCGGCTTGAATGCTTTAGTGCAGCTAGATTAGAGGAGGAGTGCCCACTGAGCCATGGCATCGCCGCATGTGATCTGGCGTAGCTTGGCATCAAGTCACGATGCTTCTCTGTTGTGATGTTGGCCTGAGCTTCCAGTGCAGTGCCCGCATCGCAACTTGAAAGTGAGGTACCAGCCTTGCCCTGACCGGTCTGGAGGTTTACGACGTGGTCTCCGACATTTGGAACAATCTCACCTTGCGCTCCATCCCAAACGAGACCATTCATGATGCCGTCGGCTGGTTGAACTTCCACCTGATGACCGTTATGGGGCTGAACCTGCTCCTCTTCTTCCTCTGGGTATACTTGAGAAGCGGCCCCGGGTGGCGCCTGGTCCGCGCGGAGTTCGGACCGCAGGCTGTTCGCCTCCTCGACCTGGTCTCCTTCTTCAATGCTGGATGCCAGCGGATCCCCATTGAGCATGCCATCAAGTTCACCGAGGCCGCCAGCGACTCCGAACTCCGTCAGCACACTGAGGGGGAGTCTTTGAGCAGAGGAGAGCTTCTGCAAGAGCTCTATAAGCTGAAGTCGCAGCTGGAGCGGGTCGCCCTGGTGCCTCGTTTCTATGAGGACGTGATCCAGACGGGCTTCCAGCTCTACATCGTCTACGTTCAGTTACAGCTTGGCGAGTCCCTGAAGGCCAGCCAATGGATGAGCCTCGCCGGCTCAACCTTCAACTTCTACGCGGCTGTAGTTGGTGAAGTAGTGAAGCAAGTTCTTCATGATGGGGATCCCACCCCCCCGAGAAGAGAAAGGCAGCTGCTGGCTGCGAAGATGCGGCCTTCAGAGATCTCGTGAGCATGAACTTGCTGGCCGACCTACTCGGCGTCGCCTCCTTACTCTCCCGTTGCTACCTATGCGCTGCGATTGGAGACGAGCTCATCCAGGAGCTGCAGCACCTACGAGGCTTTCCCGTGCTCTTCCTCCTCAACCCGGCCGTCTTCATCCTGCCGGCCACCTTTGCGTCCGAGTCCCTTGCACGTCTCTATGGCTTTCAAGGCAAGAGGCTGGGAGACGAGAGAAGGGATGCTCGGAAGCACCACTTCGATGCCGGGATCCACGTGGGCGCAGGCAGGGTTTTTTCAGGTGTTCATAGCCCAGGCAATTTCAGATTGAAGCCCGAAATGCTCGCGTCCTGTGCTGCCCTGTGCCCAGGTGGAGGATTTCTCTGCCGAGTCGCCGTCCTGTTGCTGATTGCCTTCTTGTTCAAGCTCGACTACTTCGAAGTGTCGACTGGGATGCTGATCTGCTTGGCCCTGCCGGATTTTTTTCGGCCGCTCGCCGACGGAGACCTCCAACCCCACTTGCACCCAAAAAAACCCAAGAGAGCTGAACCTGAACCCTAAGGCCCTAAACCCAAAACCCTAAACGCTAAGCCCTAAGCCCTATAAACCCTAAAACGAACTCGGAAGCCCACAAGGTTCCTTTGGACGCTGGTGGACTTTGCCAACTCCTGCGAGGACCGGGTGGGCCTACAGCGTAAGGGTTTGGGGTTTAGGGCCTGAGGACAGCTTGGAGAGAACCCTAAACCCTAAACCCTACACCCTAAACCCTAAACCCCTTTCAGGAGTCCAGAGACTACAGGCTGCTCGTCACGGTTCCCGATTCGGAGGCTTCGCCCGTGCTGCCCCCCCTCCTCCCTTCTCTGTGTCTGGTTGCAACCTGTCAGGTGTCATCACGGGAACCCGCTGCCAGCAAGAAGGTCCAAGAAGTCTGCTGCGTGTGTCCTGGCGGCAGAATGTGGAGTACACAGCTTCTGCTCCTGCCGACTCTTGCCAATGTCAGCTACGGACCTGACATGAAAGGCTCCTTTTCTTCATGTTCCTGCTTGGCACCTGCGGAGTCTGGCTGCTGGGAAGCCGGAGGCTTCGCAAGCGCCACCCCAAAAGCCTCGAATAGCTCTTCTATGCGTGGTCTATAGGTGATCTCTGACTGCTCCTGTCGCAGGCCCCAGGTTGAGCAGACGCTGGTTGTGGACGGGTTCAGCCTTGAAGCGAACGGCATCTAGCTTTTCGGAGAACCGCCCCTTCTACAAGCGCGCTGGTGGCGGCATGAACCTCTTCTACTACCACAACCGCAGCGTCGCAGCCACAAGAGACCAGTGGCTGCTGAGCCCAGACATGCCGGCCTTCTATAAAGAAAGTGTCGAGGAGTTTAAAGACGCCGCTAGTGGCAGCGTCTCCCCAACCTCCATGAACGCAACGGAGGTTCGGACATGGTCCAGGCAGACCGGCAGCGTGCACAGCTTGCCCAACTACACAAGCTTTGTCCTGACTTCACTGGAAGACCACCCCTTCCGGGGTACCTGGCTCTGGTCTGAGGGGACAACGATCAGGTGGGGCCTGCTGTTTTCTTCGAAGCGCAGACAAAGACTCCATCATGGCCGTCCGGTGCTGGAGCTCGTGAAGCCTTTCGACAACGGCACCAAAGCCAAGTCGTTTCGTATCTCCTTTAGCCACGAGCATGGTGGATGGGCTCTTAAGGAAAATAGAGAGCTCCGCTTCCTCCGGAAAGCCGTCACCGCCTTCCCCTTCGATGAGCCTTCCGACGATTTTAAAGAGCTTGAGGGTTGGCACAAGTGGGAAGGCGGCCAGTGCGCTCAGGCCACTCGTCCGCTGCTCATTGGCAAGGCCTGCCATCCGCAATGCCTGGGCTGCACTGGAGCAGGCAACAAGCGGTGCCTACACTGCCGAAGTTTAACTGCAAAGAATGGCGAATGCACGGGCAGCTGCTCTCTTCACGAAGTCGCAGTCAAAGGGCAATGCACAGATGCGTGCAGCGGGCACCGATGCCCAGTACACCACCTGTTGAAGAACAGCGCCGCTCCCTGGCACGACAGATGACAGTTGCTGCACAGCTGCCTGCAGCGGGCACCAATGCCCGGCGGACTACGTCCTGAAGAAGAACGCCGCGGAGCTCGCTGGCACGGCAGATGACATTTGCTGCTTAAAATGGTACCTGCAGGCCGGTGTCTTTGCATTTTCCGAAGCGCATTGCTGTGGTCTGTTCCGTCGTTTGCAGGGGCTGCGGTCAGAAAGCATGCGTATCGACTTGCACTTGCCGGTTGTTGAACATTCAGCAAATCCTGCGGTGTAAGCTGCTTTCAATTGTAGCGAGGGCTGCGCCTTTTCTCCCTCCGTTCACAGACGCACAGCTGCAGGCGAAGTCGTGGCGCGAGCTGGATGCGGTATCGACGAAGCCGCCAAAGAGAAGTGGCCACACAGCAGTCTACGATCCGCAGGGCAAGGCCATGGTGATCTTTGGGGGTCCGGCGCTCGGTGTGCCTCCGCGACCGCCTTCGCTCCTGGCCTTCCTTTCTCCTTCAGCTCGCGGCCCAGGTTGGGATGGCCACGGCCCGGGCCCCGGGCCTCGACAGCTGGAAGTCTGCCTTCTTTGCTGCTGCCTGCTTGCCGGTTGCTGTTGGGCGTCCTGGTCTCCGGACCCGTGCACGGACCAAGACCGTTTCGATGACACGTGGGCCTTCGACCTGGCGGTCCGGGCCCAAGCCAGTTCTGGCGCAAACTCGCCACAACAAGCAGCGGTTGTTGATTTTTGAAGCGCCTTGCCCAGGGTAGTCTGCACCGTGTTTTCAGAAGGCATGCATGTCGATGACTTGCGCATGCCGGCACGGCCGTTGTTTATATTCGGCAGATCCTGGGGGTTAATCTATTGAAATGTCTGGACTCACTGCTTTCAATTGTAGCGACGGCTGCGCCTTTTCTCTCTCATTTCACAGACGCGCAGCTGCAGGCGAAGACGTGGCACGAGGTCGATGTGGGATCGACGAAGCCGCCAGCGAGAAACTACCACACAGCTGTCTACGATCCGCAGGGCAAGGCCATGGTGATCTTTGGGGGTCCGGCGCTCGGTGTGCCTCCGCGACCGCCTTCGCTCCTGGCCTTCCTTTCTCCTTCAGCTCGCGGCCCAGGTTACGATGGCCACGGCCCGGGCCCCGGGCCTCGACAGCTGGAAGTCTGCCTTCTTTGCTGCTGCCTGCTTGCCGGTTGCTGTTGGGCGTCCTGGTCTCCGGACCCGTGCACGGACCAAGACCGTCTCGATGACTCGTGGGCCTTCGACCTGGCGGTCCGGGCCCAAGCCAATTCTGGCGCAAACTCGCCAC